GTACGGTATGGCGCAGAAGATTCCGGACCGTACAATCGTGCAGGAGTTCGCTTACACCTATCTGGACGCCTGCTACTCCGCACCGAATTCTCAATGATGCTCAGAGCACCATTGTAGCTACTAGTTTTAAAAGGACTGTGATAACCCCAAAGGCCATTCATTTCTACAAAGTGACTACCGACAACTACATGCCCGTTCTCGAGTTTATTTTGCTGTTTGCAAAAGAAAACTGTCGAATATTGATGTTTTAAGAATTCTGGTCGTGAAAAACCATGCGACAAAAAAATTTGGCTGGTTGTGAATAATACATAAATATAAATAATACATAAAGGTTCCTTAAGTTATTTGCAGAGAGAAGTGCATAATGAAATCATTCATCATAATCATTTATCCTTTGAGACGCGTGAAAATACTCAACTACCGAACTTCTAAGTGCTCTTGCAGCAATATGCAAATATCTCGGCATCATGGCACTTATAGTCTTTGGGGCAGAAGTTGTCCTTGCACGATTTTCCAAATCGGACTTCTTTCCAAGAATCCACAGGTACCGAGTAGGGCTCTTTTCCGTTCTTGCATTTTGGATTATAAGCCGCATGGAACCGATCTGAAAAGAATTCGCAGGCATTTCTTTTGACGTCGCTTCAAACAATCGTTTCATTCAAATAATGAGGAGGATATGTGTGAGCTTTGCTTTCACACTTCATCAGATTTCAACCTTTCTTCTATCACCGCCTGAAAAATAAGGTCTTCACTGTAAGTACTGAAAGCTAGCAATAGGGCACCGTTTTGAAAGTGAATCGAAACTGTGCACTAGAATGGATCGAAGAGGTGAATTACACGAGCCAGACCTCCTTTGTATCTGCAGGCGATTAAAAATGAAAACAGCTTGAGAAATACTGGGAGCCTCAGCACCATGGAAGTTCAAAACACGAGTTTTAGCGCTTGTATTTTATGAGCGCTGAGGTCCTTGCTCTGATTCAGAACCTACCTTGCGATATTTAAATATACAGGGGCAATAAAAAGACATTTCTCCCGTGTTAAAATGGATTTAGCCACAATTCGCTAAATTCAGACTCCTAACTCCTAACTTAATATTGAAGAGTACTTCCCACTTGATACAAACGACTTCAGAATTGTCCAGTTCCGAAGTCTCACGTTGATCTAAATGCTGTAAAACGTGAGAGCTTATTTATGAGAAGAGTCCCGAAGACTTTCACGAAAGGAAAATTGGCAAAAATGTGCTGGGCATACGTTTTGACGGGAAGCTTAGTGCCATTTGGGTGAGCTATTACGGCGCGGGCTTCATCGAGCCCGAAAGGAATAATGAGTCCGCGATTAAGTTTTAGGAAGTCCGATAATACTATTACAAATACGTCAATGTTAGTAAATAAATATATTAAGCATATACTAACCGACTCGCAGTGAGAGGGTAGCAGGTTAGTCCGTTTAATTATAATTTAATATATAAACAGACTTCGAGGGGCTCATTTCATATCAGCCTTGACAACGGCGCGAGGCGCCGAAAACTGAACAAAAAACCCAAAGGCCTATGCTTTTGTAAAACTTTTGCACTCACACACATTTTTGCAGTTTCTCCTGTGAAAGAGTCTTTCGCAATAAATAATTGGAGTCTCACATTGTCTTTTACACATTCAGAACAAAAGACATCACAGTGCCCTTCTAGTGGACGGCATCAGAAAAGCATTATGTTGGACGGTAGAGCTCAGCGAGGTTCTGGGCGGATCGTGTGTCACTGGGATGATTTCTGAAAACGGCTGGCTGCAGGGGAGACCTTGCGATGGTCAGAAGCTAGGCGGGCTCAGCGCGAAATACTTACCAGTTGAATACGGTTCAAGGAATGTAGCAGCTTCAAGCTTAGGAAATCAGTTAACTGTAAGTCTCTTAGAGCTCAGACAACGGTATGGGCCAAGGCTCGACCCGCCACTCCTTGAAGACGGGGAGCGTAAGAGCTTGCGTCTACTTGTAGAGGAATTTGATGCACCATTCGCCTCGGCGCAGACTCGCTAACAGCGGCTAAGAAGCCCGCTGACGGCACAACCGGAAGGCGACATGAACGAAGTGGTCTTTTTTGACGGTGACCGCGCTCTGTTACACCTACGAAGGACTAAGTAATGCCAGGTGTATGTTGACTTGATCGCAAACAGATTCGAGGTTTTTGCAAGGGTGAATATTATTTTTCAATCGATAGCGAAAAAAAAACGACAAGCCAGTAGAAGGAGTTTAATTAATTAGCGCACCTCAAACCAGCTGGGGATTTTTCTTTCTTTCTTCATTTCTGTACTGAGCGGACTTACCTTCATTATGATTGTTGCAACACAGCGATATGAATCCTTTGTTGAGGCACTTGTGATTCACCGGACATCCGTCAGTGAGCTTAGGACCGACGTATGGAGGAGGAGTTGGGCCAGAAAACCCTGAAATGGTTCTGTTGTTATGTCTGTCTTCTGCTGATGTCTCCCACGAAAGGAACAGAAGAGAATCCTGATTCTAGCCCCCATACGTGTGCACGTGCGATGCTGAAGAAAGAGAGAAAGCGATTTTTTGAGGGCTGAGCTTTCTTACAAAGTTGTAAATTTTGCATCCTTACCAGGTGGGAAGCTAATTGTGAGGCTATTGCAGTTTTATCGCTTCACCATTTGATAGTCGGGCTGGTGGATTCATTCCGCTGCAACCACTGCCATCCACTAAAGAATCACATACTGCGATTACACATCGGGATAAATCGAATTCAAAAGTTTTTTTTACCGAGAAGACAATCATGAATGCATGTAGAAGAGTCGTTGTAGTTGTTTCCGTTTCCACCACAGCCAAGATATTCGAATGCCAGACAAGAAGATGTGCTGTAGTCGAAATAGTACTGAAATTGTTGCTCAGGGAAACAGGAAGGAGCAGGAGTTTGTGGGAAAGGCGTGTTCAATATTCTATTACTTCAGAGTACTCAGTGTCCACGTGATGCGCAGCACCCTTCTCTTTTGTTCTTTCTGTGTCGTGCTAATTTCTATCCGCTCTTATGTTTTTTCGCTTCCTTTCCTTCTTTTTCTTTGTTTTTGAAATTTGGCCAATGCTGTTATGCTTTGCCTTCTTGGGTAATAAGGGGGAGCTCTTTATTTGTGAACAGGCAATGCTTGCGACAAATTGATACCCTATGCGCAATAGTGAAATAGAGAGTCATATGTGTGGCTTGTTAGAAAAGGCGCACTTAGAAAATTCCTAAGTCTTTTTTGACCAGTTTTAACAATTTGATCTGGAAATACATAAAATACTGTCAAAAACCCAGTTGATAAGACCCCATTCGGCCTGTTGATCTCGGAAGTGGATGAGTTCACTGCTAAACTAGGTTGATCGGCTGAAGCTAAACTCTGACGTCATGCCATCGACAGGCAATTGTTGCTTCAGTGGCAGTGCAGAGAGTGTATCGAGAAATATGCCGGAGCGCCTCGAGGAGGGAGGAGGGTGGAGTGTGGCCATATCAACCTTCTACGTTCACCGCGGACGGCGCGCTTTTGAGCAGGGGAAGGGATTTCCCAGGCAGCATTCGAAAGGTTCTATTATGCCTTAAATAGCGCGAACCTTCTAGCCACCGGAAAAGCCGGCACCCAACGGACGGGCGATCTCACCCCTGTCCTCTACTCACTCGCCTCAAACCTAAGAAGTTTTTTTTATCGCGGACTATTCATTAAAATTAAGGTGCTTATTACGGATATGTATGTAATTTTATAAAAAAAAGAACTGACTCTGACTGAGGGCTTTTTTTCTTTGCAGGCCACACCTTTGCTTCTGTCCATCTTACATGTCTCTTTCGAAACTGGATAAGACTTCGCGCCAAGCTCAGAGTCGTAGACAGAACTCTTGGAAATCGTTTCGTAGTCTTGAAAATTAAAGGCGCAAGACAACTCGAGAATTTGAACTGATTGATTCCCACCCTAATGGTTTGAAAGTAGCGGAATGGGAAGTGAAGACGCCAATGGAAAAAAGAAAGAAAAATTCTGAGGATATATCAGGGAAATACGAAGCATTTTGACGCTCCTATGCTTTAGGGAATTCAAAAAGGACAAGCAGGGAGTGAAGCAGGGATTGATGGCGAGAACGGAGAGCGGATAAGAGTAAGCTCCCGCAGCGAGTAGAGACGAGAGCATGGCAGATCCAACGCAGCGACGCAGACAAGATATCGAACGGTGGGCGGACCATGTTAAGTTTGGTGGAGTCTGTTAGAAGTCCATGGCGCCTAGGGTCCTAGTGACGCGTTTCGATGTAGAAAGGTGGCGCTACCTTTGCACTTGCGTACCCAGCACTTCTAGCCATGGTAAAGGGCTTAGGCTGGATCTGAACTTAGGACTCTTTGCCTTTTAATTCAATATTTAGGTTGACTTCATCATCAGAAGGACTCGTACAAAACACCCAAGCTTAAGAAATTTCATCTTTAATGCCTACGCCTAAAATCTACTGGCGTGAACTTACTAGTTTTTCCACACTTGATCGTGTCGGTCCCTTCCTTCTTCGTACGTGTTTTTGGAACTTCTTCACCAGTCTTTGTATCCACGCAGTAGCACCACTTTCGTTTCGCATCACACTGTAGTGGTTCGTAGTTGCCTGTAAATTGCTTCACATTCACTTGGTAAATTCAAACGATACTTCTCCAGTTCTCGATTAAAATGAATCAGAATGATGTGCGGGTTTTGATAAGATTGTGCATTTCTCAGAGAATTATGTAATCCTAGCAGAAAAGATTGGACGAATTTGTTCAAGCCGTAAGAGTTGTGATGAGGCTTCCGTACGCCAATTCTTTCACAACGGCAACTACTCAGTTTGCTCATGTTCTTGAAGAGTTTTCTACATTGTTCTTTATTCTTCCAAGTGCTCTAACAAATCGGTAATTGCTCCAAATTTATTTGACTTCTCCTTAATTTATCGCTCCAATCCAGCCCGTCCTTTACCACAGACAGCATCAATCAAAATAATGAGAGGAGCGGGAAGGAAGAAAAATAGTTCCTAAACTTGTATTTGATAGTTAGCCTGTTGTTAGCCGCAGTTCTCCATGTGAAAGACATCGCAAAGCTGAATTATGGGTTTTGCTCTTTACCCAGAAGGGGGCCGATCAAACTCGCAGCCCTAGTTTCCAGACCATGTGCTACCATTTACACGCCGGACCTCGTTTTGTTTTGAAGGCAGAATTTACGATGAAAAGTTAGCTCATTGGAAATAAGGGTAGAGGTGGTCAGTGGAGCAGGGATGAAGAAGAAACCATTTGAAACCCGGAAATGGGACCTTCCTTCCCGTTGATTTGCGACTCTCATCGCTGTGCCCTCTTCAACGTTCGCCACGTATAGACCTGCGGCGAGTGATTAGATAGTCGGTGGGCGTACCCCGCCAACCGCGCCAAGAGTGAGCCATGCTAGATCGCCGAGGTCAAATCTTTCGCTGCCAATTGCGCGTCGGTCAGCACCCTCAGGAGGTCCGCCTGTCTCCCAACTATGCAATTTCCCCTTCTTTGACCTTCGTTCTTATCGTGAATTCCTTCTCTAACCCAACGTTCAATCTTCTTCTTTCAATGGTACATACATTCTATTCTGGCCCTTGAATTGTTGCTGAACACTGAGAGGTACTGTATGTAGAAGGTTAACATTGTGTAATGAAACTCAAAACTAAACATCCATACCCAGAATAACATCGCATTTTGGGACAAAGGTTCCCTCGGGCACATCTCCATTGGCGAACAGCTTCTTCAAAGCGTTGTGACAACCTGAAAAGATAAAATCCTCAGAAAAACGAAGTAACCCTCAGAAAAAAATGTGCACACTTTTCCATTTCATTTTCTCGCATGATCAATGTAAAAAGTTCAGCTTTAACAGAAAATAAAGTTCTGGCCAGAATATCTGGAGATCTTGCGTGTTGGACGAAAATACGGCAGATTTATGGTTTCCAAACACACTTTTCTCTCTTTTCATTATTTTTCTCCAGTAACAGTCTCTACTTTAGTTCCCAAGATGAATGATTATAGTGTTGGGTGGTTGAGTGTTCCTCTGAGCAAAACCAATCCTCAGAACTTTTTTTTCAAA